GAACGCGTGACCTGGCGAATGCCGCCGCCTTGTGGCTACGGTAGAGTATTGCAGTCCGTGCTCATGGCGAGCCCTTTGGTGGCTTATCACAGTGCAGAATTACTGTGATATTTTATTTTAAATTCATTAACTTACATTTCATATGTGGAGACATGCATGACATAACATGTGATACTGTATTGTAACGTATTTGTGTGTCTACTGCATATTAAAGTTTTGGCAGCGTGAGTGACGCTAAAACTAACGTTGCTCCCAGTAATCATTGATCCGTTGAAGTATTAAAATGCATTTTTTTAAAAATACAATAACACATATTGTATAAATAGTCATAGAATTTTTGTATTGTACGTAACGATGCCCAAAAATACTGCTACAAATGATAAAGTAAAGAAAATAATAGTTTATGAAGTGAATTTATTTAAATATATTATAACGGCGGTTGGATTTGAACCCGTGACCTTTTGACTCCTGACGGCTTGCGGCGAGGTTTGTAAGTACAGTATGAAAAAAAAACAATAATAATAAAATTTCTATTTAAAGCTTTCGTGACTGCAGGGATTCATATTCTTGGTTTTTTCGGTAAAGTCACGTAGCAGGGAAATAAAAAATAATAAAAATTAAATAGTACAATTCTTACTATTTCTCACTATTTAATTGTTTATTTTTTATTATTTCCTTTCTACGTGACTTTACCAAAAGAACCAAGAATACTAATTAAATAAAATAGGGGCCTAAGGCCATCGCGGTACTGAATGAAGCTACAGGCGGCGCGACACCTTCTCACCTCATGCTAGTGGATTGATTTTGAATGGAAACCCTCCTACGAATTTGGTGGTTCCCGGAACCGACGTTAGACCCCCTTAATAAAAAGTCGAGGGGCTAAGCCCAGTGCGCCACTGCGCCAGTTGGTAACTAACGGCACCTCTTCGCCATATAACTGCTACATGTTCTCCGGCCGTACATCTTCGATGTATTAATCGCTAATTAAACAATAACACATCTGGTGTATATACTTTCAGAATATTTTGTTTAATGTCATAATCCCGATGAACACCGCAACAAATTACTAAGTAAATATGATTGTTTATAAGTCATAAATAAAAAAGTATTATTCAGGTTGGATTTGAACGCGTGACTTGGCGATTGCCGCCACCTTGTGGCTACGGTAGAGTATTGCACTCCGTGCTTAATGTGAGCTCTCTGGTGGCTTATCACAGTGCAGAATTACTGATATTTTATTTTTTATTCATTAACTTACATGTCATATCTGCAGACATGCATGACATAACATGTGATACTGTATTGTAACGTATTTGTGTGTCTACTGCATATTAAAGTTTTGGCAGCGTGAGTGACGCTAAAACTAACGTTGCTCCCAGTAATCATTGATCCGTTGAAGTATTAAAATGCATTTTTTTAAAAATACAATAACACATCTTGTATAAATAGTTATAGAATTTTTGTATTGTACGTAACGATGCCCAAAAATACTGCTACAAATGATAAAGTAAAGAAAATAATAGTTTATGAAGTTATTTTTTAAAAATATATTATAACGGCGGTTGGATTTGAACCCGTTACCTTTTGACTCCTGATGCCTTGCGGCGAGGTTTGTAAGTACAATATATATAAAAAACAATAATTTAATTTCTATTTAAAGCTTTCGTGACTGCAGGGATTCATATTCTTGGTTCTTTCGGTAAAGTCACGTAGCAGGGAAATAAAAAATAATAAAAATTAAATAGTACATTTCTTACTCTTTCTCACTATTTAATTGTTTATTTTTTATTATTTCCTTTCTACGTGACTTTACCAAAAAGAACCAAGAATACTAATTAAATAAAAAAGGGGCCTAAGGCCATCGCGGTACTGAATGAAGCTACAGGCGGCGCGACACCTTCTCACCTCATGCTAGTGGATTGATTTTGAATGGAAACCCTCCTACGAATTTGGTGGTTCCCGGAACCGACGTTAGACCCCCTTAATAAAAAGTCGAGGGGCTAAGCCCAGTGCGCCACTGCGCCAGTTGATAACCAACGGCACCTCTTCGCCATATAACTGCTACATGTTCTCCGGCCGTACATCTTCGATGTATTAATCGCTAGTTAAACAATACCACATCTTGTGTACATACTTTCAGAATATTTCGTTTAATGTCATCATCCCGATGAACACCGCAACAAATTACTAAGTAAAAATGATTGTTTATAAGTCATAAATAAAAAAAAGTATTATTCAGGTTGGATTTGAACGCGTGACCTGGCGAATGCCGCCGCCTTGTGGCTACGGTAGAGTATTGCAGTCCGTGCTCATGGCGAGCCCTTTGGTGGCTTATAACAGTGCAGCATTACTGTGATATTTTATTTTAAATTCATTAACTTACATTTCATATGTGGAGACATGCATGACATAACATGTGATACTGTATTGTAACGTATTTGTGTGTCTACTGCATATTAAAGTTTTGACAGCGTGAGTGACGCTAAAACTAACGTTGCTCCCAGTAATCATTGATCCGTTGAAGTATTAAAATGCATTTTTTTAAATACAATAACACATCTTGTATAAATAGTTATAGATTTTTTGTATTGTACGTAACGATGCCCAAAAATACTGCTACAAATGATAAAGTAAAGAAAATAATAGTTTATGAAGTTATTTTTAAAAAAATATATTATAACGGCGGTTGGATTTGAACCCGTGACCTTTTGACTCCTGACGGCTTGCGGCGAGGTTTGTAAGTACAGTATGAAAAAAAAACAATAATAATAAAATTTCTATTTAAAGCTTTCGTGACTGCAGGGATTCATATTCTTGGTTCTTTCGGTAAAGTCACGTAGCAGGGAAATAAAAAATAATACAATTTAAATAGTACAATTCTTACTATTTCTCACTATTTAATTGTTTATTTTTTATTATTATTTCCTTTCTACGTGACTTTACCAAAAGAACCAAGAATAATTATTAAATAAAAAAGGGGCCTAAGGTCATCACGGTACTGAATGAAGCTACAGGCGGCGCGACACCTTCTCACCTCATGCTAGTGGATTGATTTTGAATGGAAACCCTCCTACGAATTTGGTGGTTCCCGGAACCGACGTTAGACCCCCTTAATAAAAAGTCGAGGGGCTAAGCCCAGTGCGCCACTGCGCCAGTTGATAACTAACGGCACCTCTTCGCCATATAACTGCTACATGTTCTCCGGCCGTACATCTTCGATGTATTAATCGCTAATTAAACAATAACACATCTGGTGTATATACTTTCAGAATATTTTGTTTAATGTCATAATCCCGATGAACACCGCAACAAATTACTAAGTAAATATGATTGTTTATAAGTCATAAATAAATAAGTATTATTCAGGTTGGATTTGAACGCGTGACCTGGCGAATGCCGCCGCCTTGTGGCTACGGTAGAGTATTGCAGTCCGTGCTCATGGCGAGCCCTTTGGTGGCTTATCACAGTGCAGAATTACTGTGATATTTTATTTTAAATTCATTAACTTACATTTCATATGTGGAGACATGCATGACATAACATGTGATACTGTACTGTAACGTATTTGTGTGTCTACTGCACAATAACGTTTTGGAGGCGCGAGTGACGCTAAAAACTAACGTTGCTCCCAGTAATCATTGATCCGTTGAAGTATTAAAATGAATTTTTTTAAATATATATACAATTACACATCCTGTATAAATAGTTCTAGAATTTCTGTATTGTACGTAACGATGCCCAAAAATACTGCTACAAATGACAAAGTAAAGAAAATAATAGTTTATGAAGTGAATTTATTTTCATATATTATAACGGCGGTTGGATTTGAACCCGTGACCTTTTGACTCCTGACGGCTTGCGGCGAAGTTTGTAAGTACAATATATATAAAAAACAATAATTTAATTTCGATTTAAAGCTTTCGTGACTGCATGGATTCATATTCTTGGTTCTTTCGATAAAGTCACGTAGCAGGGAAATAAAAAATAATAAAAATTAAATAGTACATTTCTTACTCTTTCTCACTATTTAATTGTTTATTTTTTTATTATTTCCTTTCTACGTGACTTTACCAAAAGAACCAAGAATACTAATTAAATAAAAAAGGGGCCTAAGGCCATCGCGGTACTGAATGAAGCTACAGGCGGCGCGACACCTTCTCACCTCATGCTAGTGGATTGATTTTGAATGGAAACCCTCCTACGAATTTGGTGGTTCCCGGAACCGGCGTCAGACCCCCTTAATAAAAAGTCGAGGGGCTAAGCCCAGTGCGCCACTGCGCCAGTTGATAACTAACGGCACCTCTTCGCCATATAACTGCTACATGTTCTCTGGCCGTACATCTTCAATGTATTAATCGCTAATTAAACAATAACACATCTGGTGTAGATACTTTGAGAATATTTTGTTTTATGTCATCATCCCGATGAACACCGCAACAAACTACTAAGTAAATATGATTGTTTATAAGTCATAAATAAAAAAGTATTTTTCAGGTTGGATTTGAACGCGTGACTTGGCGACTGCCGCCGCCTTGTGGCTACGGTAGAGTATTGCAGTCCGTGCTCATGGCGAGCCCTTTGGTGGCTTATCATAGTGCAGCATTACTGTGATATTTTATTTTAAATTCATTAACTTACATTTCATATGTGGAGACATACATTACATAACATGTGATACTGTACTAGAACGTATTTGTGTGTCTACTGCACAATAAAGTTTTAGAGGCGCGAGTGACGCAAAAAACTAACGTTGCTCACAGTAATCATTGATCCGTTGAAGTATTAAAATGAAATTTTGTTTAAATACAATAACACACGTTGTATAATAAGTTCTAGAATTTTTGTATTGTACATAACCATGCCGATAAATATTGCTACAAATGACGAAGTAAAGAAAATAATAGTATATGAAGTGATCTTCTTGGTTCTTTCGGTAAAGTCACGTAGATTGGAAATAATAAAATAATAAAAATAAAACATTATTAAATAATTCTCACGACGTTTCGGCCACAACGCAAGCACGTCGTGAGAATTATTTTATTATGTCTTATTTTTATTATTTTATTATTTCCATTCTACGTGACTTTACCGAAAGAACCAAGAAGATGACTCCGTGCAGTCACGAAAGCTTTCAATCGAAATTTATATGAAGTGATGTTTTTTATATATATTATAACGGCGGTTGGATTTGAACCCGTGATCTTTTGACGACTGACGCCTTGCGGCGAGGTTTGTAAGTATATAAAAAAACAAAATTAATCTTGCTTTGAAGCTTTCGTGACTGCAGGAATCCATACTCTTTGGTTCTTTCGGTAAAGTTACGTGGGTAGAAAATAAATCACGACGTTTCGGGTGCAACACATGTGTCCATCATCAGGTGGGAAAGCATGGTCTGCTGCTTAGGCAGACTGTTTAAAATGTTTGAAATGGGTGTAGCTCAAGGATCACTAGTCCCGGCCACTTCTTTTTGACCTTTGAGCTACAATTTTAAAAGGCAAACAATATCCGTCTCAAAATAATTTGAATAAACACTGCACGTAACTTTAGCACTGCTTTGAACTCACCGGATAATTTGAACTGACACATTTTTCTTCCCTGATGAACGATTGATAGCCAAGAGTGAAGAAAGTAGACTGCTGATACTGTCAGAAGTAAGTTTTCAATTAAAAAAGACCAAACATAACCATTAAAGTTACAAAAAAAATTACCAGAGTATTATTGTATCTTGTGTAAATTTAATGGTAGTGAATCTTGCACAAAACGATTTAATCAAACACTTCACTGCATTTCACTGTAGCACTGTATTTAACTCACCTTCAATTACTTCAAAATCACTGCTCTGATACTTTATTTCTTCTGCTTTCACTCGCTGGGGTTGAAATACATTTTAATTCGATACAATATCTGGAAAATCACGGATAAATGTTTATATGTTATCATAATTTAGAAGCAAAAATTAGACTTACCTTTTATTTCAAGTGCTGAAGAAATACATAAAGGCACCAATACCACTTTGTTGCTGCGTATAATTATTTATTTGATAAAATTTCAATAAAGAAGCATCAAATTTTAAGCGAATTTGCGTAAAAAAATGTTTCTTCGCTCGACCTAGGGGAGTGTAAAAATCCACCCGCTCATGATTATTAATGAGGGGGGGCTCTTTTGCAGTGACGTCACGTACGAATGTAGCAGTGTGCTGCGTAGATTTATTTTTGACCGTCACTTTCTGTAAAGAAACGTCATATTTGAAGCGACTTTGCGAAAAAAATATCTCTCTGCTCGACCTTCTTCCGCGTGAGTGTAAAAATCCATTCGCTCATGATTATTTTATTATTAATGACGAGGGGGGGGGGGTGCGGCATGTGGAGGGACGTCACGCGAGTTACACACATTTCTGGGCTATTAAATATGGATTCATAAGCTATTAAACAGTATCTAATCAATCGGTAACATTAAGATAACGTACATTATTGTATTTATTTGTTTTTATATAATTCAAGTACAGCTGGCGTTCAGAGAGGGCACTTGCCAATAACATCTTGTCACACGGTAGCAGTGTGACTGCTGATGAGACCCAAAAGGGCAAAACCAGTTGAGAGTTGTCGACTCGACTTTTAATGATTGAATAACCTGGTGCCGTTTGTAATACATCATCACTGGGGAGACAACTTCAACTGAACTTCATTTTTATTTTCCAGGTAAGGCTCATTGAGCTATATACAGCTCTTTTTCAGAAGCGACCTGGCTCTCACAAATGATAGTCCAACGTACATGCTTATCACGCGGACATTTATAGCAGCCAAATACTCTAAATGTGTGTTCATTTTTAATGAGGGAAAAGCCGGAGGACCCGGAGATAAATCCACCCGATCACAGGGAGAGAGACATGCAGGCATCAATCAGGGTGGTTATCGAACCCATGACCTGCCTACCGGGCGAGGTAGTTGACAAACACACGTTAAATTTCGATTTAAAGATTTCGTGACTGCAGGGATTCATCTTCTTGGTTCTTTCGGTAAAGTCACGTAGAAGGGAAATAATAAAATAATAATAAATCAAACATAATAAAATAATTCTCACCACGTTTCGGCCACAACACAAGCAGCCGTCCTCAGGTGAATAACAGGTCTGTCGGAAATACATTCAGACGCTGTCTTTCCGACAGACCTGTTCTTCACCTGAGGACGGCTGCTTGCCGTCGTCAGGTGAACAAGAAGCCAAACACGGTGCAGAAACAGAAGACCTGTCTCCCAGACAGACCTGGTCTTCACCTGCGGACGGCTGCTTGCGCTGTGGCCGAAACGTCGTGAGAATTATTTTATTATGTATTATTTTTTATTATTTTATTATTTCCCTTCTACGTGACTTTACCGAAAGAACCAAGAAGATAAACACACGTTCATCGGGAAGCGTTCAAGGCTGGCGGGCAGAGGCGGGAGCGCTGGTTGGCTCAGCACCACTGAGCGTGCGCTTCTCTTTCACTGATTGAGCGAGCGGCTCGGAGAAGACAAGGGAGTGTTGCACGCCGCGGGTTTCTCGCGCAGGAATTTTAAACCGTTCAGGTATTTTCCTCCAGGCCAGAAAGCCTCATAAGGGAATGCTGTTTTAAGAGGCAGCCTGTACCTACAAAGATGAAATATATTTCATAATGGTACTATGTAAATGTTTTCATCCTTATCATCATCATACTGCTGTTGATATAATTAAAGATGCGTTAATTTTCCTGTCATTCTGCTATAAACTTTAGATACAAACAATGTGAGCCCCTGTGCACGTGGCCACCTTTCTGCGACCATTTCAAAGAGATGGGCGCTCATGGTCACGTGACTTTCGGGCAATATTAGGGCAACTGTTGCCAGCAACGCATTACACATGGGCAACTGTGGTAACTCTATGGAATAGCATAAAGCAGCAGGGTTCTGTGTAGCCGAGGCAAATGGAGATTGATAAAAGGTGTTTGGCTAACTGGGATTGGTCTAAAGAGTTCACAGTGTTTGGTGGTCACATGACCTCTGATTGGAAATTTCTATCCCATTTGCCCACTAGCGACGAGCAACTATCGGACGCGTGTTGAATAGAACAGCAACGTTGCTTGTAAAATCGAAAATGGTGCGGCAACAACAAAAAATCACTTGCGCATACTACGGTGTGCGAGTGTCGTTTGAGCCAACTGGGATATAATTGGGAATAAAATAAAGCACTCCAATGACTTGGACCTAACCGTTCTGTGACCACCTCTCTCACTTTCCAGATGAAAGCGTCCTCACACGCTCAAGTTGGTTGTAGCCGAGGCAAGGTGACCTCCGGCTATGGCGCCGTCTTTTCCCAGAAGCTGTCGCTGAGGCTGCTGTTGCCACCGCTGCCGCTGAATGTGGCCATGGCACAGCGCGAGAGCGCAGGCCGCGCGTCCATCCTCTCGATGCTGCGGTGCAAGCAGGCGGACATCGCCTAGAACCTCTCCTCCGGATACGGGTGCTTCTGTCACGCCAGATTCCGCCACGCAGAGCCCCTGGATGAACTGGACTTGTGCTGCATGGTGAGGCTTGGCTGGGAATGGGGGGAATGCGTAGAGTGAGGGGGGCACCGACGCTGGGTTCGGGTGATGGATAAAGGCCTCCCCAAACCGGATTTGCCATGGTCTCTCCACAACAATACTCATGATATAGATTTATGTATTATATGATTTTTCATAGAAATTAGGACCCATATCTAAAACATTCTTACCCGGTAAATATCTGGTAGATCACCAGCATTGGTTTAAGCCAGCGTAACTTGTGGTCCAGAGTTTGCTTGTGTTCTACAAATGCTGATTAAATTACGCACTCACAGAATGCCGTGCAGATAATGAGGTGTAAAAAAAAATCATGTGGAGGGAAAGATTGTCTGCTTATTTATTTCATCCATAAGTGGATTAACAAAGAGCTGTAAGAAAGAACATATATTTCTTTGTTTAAGTTCATTTAGTTGTACCGGGTTCTCACCCAGTTGATACTAAAACATCTGCCTGTCTGCCCACATGTTTCTTGGTCCATTCGTCCATCCCCGTGGCTAAAGATGGCCCACTGCTGTGCCCGTGACGTAATCCTCGACTACTGCCAGTCGGAGAGTGGCCTGCAAACGCTCGAGGCCAAACTCAAGGTGCAGCCCTCCTGCAAGACGCACGGACTGCTGACGAAAATGCGGGAGACACCATGGATGAACCCACATTCGCTGAAGAGAACAATGCAGGAGACACTATCAATAAACTCACATTCACTGACAAGAACAATACGAGAGACACTCTGAATGAACTGCTTCTTAACCTATGCCCCCCATCATTCAGCCGTCCTCATCTATCTTTGAGGCTGAAATGTCCACAATGGAGAGGGGCTATGAGATAGGGTTCAAGAGGCACATAGATTTTTAGCAGGCCAAGATTTTGATTTGGGGCTTGTTGCAGAGCTTCACGGTTCGACTCCAGCGGCTACCCCGGTTACTACTGAAGTGACATCTGTCTTCACAGTGGACGTTAAAGTTTCCGTGACGTCATTTGCAATAATGGACCATTGCGTGTGCCAGCGTCACGATCCAAATTTTGCCAAGTAAAAAATACCCGCAAATTACTCAATTGGTATTTATCACAACGAGCATCGCCCCCGACTAATAAAATCTGGTAGGAGCCTTCTGCAAAGAGTCACGAGATGGGGGAAGCTTTCCTGGGCAACCAAGCACACTCATGCAGATAGAGAGCTTTGGAAGAGAAGAGAAATAACTCTTAAGTGTAAATAAACTTTTATTTTATGCAGGAGTGATATCTATATTAACATGCGAATCAAGGACACACCTTACTAATTGGCTGTGGCGGGTTTAACGACCCACTTAGGTTAACACGATCTAACCCAAAAACAGTTTATTAAGGAGCTGGATACTAACTTAGCCGCTCAATATTAAGTTGCTAGTATTTGACTAGAGGTGTCTGAGATACGGTGAGTGATTGCAACACAAAAGGAGGATATTAAATTAATTATTACCACCATGAGGGTGACTCGAGATGTACGCTCATATTCTTAGGGTCTTTCAGTAAAGTCCCGTAGATATTTTCAAAGAAAATTACAAAAAACTACGACGTTTAGATTGCAACACAAGCATTTTTTACATTTTTTTTGAACCTATCTACGTGACTTTACCGAAAGACCCATATAATATGAATTCCTGTGGTCACAAAAGCTTTGAGTCAAGATTTATGTACGTTCATTTTGAGGCACGTGGTGTGGGCAGAGCGGCGGAAATTAGTTGGCTTCGAATTCTTCAGTAAGTCGCTTCAGGCTCTTAAGTGGGAGGCACCGTAGACATCGCGGTGGTACAAGGACGGTGATGACCTCACGACGCATCACGAACGTGGGTGGGGATAAGTGAGGTTATCGTTATCTATGGGACCTTTTTTGTCAGTATCAAAACAATGAAAAATAAGAAGAGGTTTTGTCTTTCCTGGCAATAAAACGCGAGGTGTTAAGATGTCCAAACACCAAAATAGATACAAACTCTTTGGTTCTCTCGGTAAAGTCACGTAGATAGAAAATTAATAATAACCTCTGATAATAATTGCATTGTCCTAAAAACGAATTAGCCTACACCAGAGAACGGCCTTATTTATGGCCTTGTCTCGCCACCAGTGTGAGACCAGAGAACTCCAAAGGGTGAATAGCACAAAGGCAATGGAAGTATCAGAACACTTCTAGCTCGATTCAAAGCTTTCGTGACTGCAGGGATTCATCTTCTTGGTTCTTTCGGTAAAGTCACGTAGAAGGGAAATAATAAAATAATAAAACTAAAACATAATAAAATACAATTCTCACTGTGAGAAATGCTCAGCAAATCTGCAAACCTGTTCCTGGGGGTCGGAGATTGGATCACCGTTTTTTCTCCTACTGATGGTAATAGGTGTGGCGCTGCAGGTTACGTTTTTGATGGAGTTAAATAGGGATTTGTGATCGCGGGCCACTGAGGCAGACTCCATCTCCTCAGCAACCCGCAACCACCACCCATCCTTGCAGCGCCTCACGGCTCTCCGAACCTCCGAGCGAAGGCTGCGGTAAGCCTCCTCATTCTCTGACATGGGATGCTGTAGATGATTAGAGTAGGCCTGTCGCTTTTTCTCAACCATCCTGAGCACCTCCTCTGTCAGCCAGGGTCTCTGGGGAGGTCTGGACCGCTTACCCAAAGCAGCCATTGCAGCTGCATGAGTCACACTCCTAAACCTCGCCCATTTACCCTCGACACCTGGAGGAGTGGGGGAAGATTCCAACACCAGCCATAAGCGATGATGAAATTCTCGCTTGCAACTTTCATCAGCTAACTGAGACCAGGCCACCTTTGGTTGAAATGGGGTCCTGGGTGTACACCTGTAGTGGTGTTAACTACTCGCTGTTCGCAAACTCTGAGAGCGGATCGTAAACAAGGTTCTCCCGCTCAATCAAACGGTCAGGATCAAATGGGGTGAGGTAGGATCCAAACGCCAGATTGGGAAGGACCAATCGGAGGGTTCCGCAAGGTGGCCGGGGATTGGACAACCCGGCCACGAACAGGTATAAAAGCCAGAGCGCTGAGAGCTCTTGGCCAGTTCTGCTACACGAAACCCCAAGTCGGCCGAAGACATCTAAGACCCTGGACCAAGCCCTCCAGCTCTTATCAGGGCTCGGGCTCAGAGTAACCAGTGGTCGGGGAGAGATCCCCTATGTCCAGCCAGAGGACGCTGAGATAGCAGGAAGATTAGATAGCCTGCAAGGCCCGGAGGCTGTGTCTCCTCAGGGTAACGGGTGAGGGGACCATATACCCCTTTGTGTGATAGGGACTGTGTATTAAGACAATAAACAGTGTGTGCCATAAAGAAGTTTAGAAGTCTGTCCTTTACAACACTACACACCCACCACCGGAGTGGAAGAATGGCAGGCATATCTTACAGATGACTAGTCAATTATCAGAGGGAAGATCAGCTCCATGGTAGGTCCTGGTGTCAAGGACATGGGCTCGCATCCGCTGATCATCACTATATCACTATGTAGTCCAGCAGATGTTCTTGCTTGGACCCGGCATGCATCCATGATGTTGTGTGGATGCGCCAATGCCGGAACAGCGTGTTGGTAATTACAAGCCCATGGACTGCACAAAAATCTAGCAGCCTCCTACCGTTGTTAATGAACTGATCTAGCCCATGCCTTCAAATCCAGACCAGGTGCCAGCATCATGACCAACTCGGGAATTGCTGTCACTCAAAAAGATGACTCTATCCCGAGGGGCCACTTTAGCCAGCACCTGTGACAGGAAGTCATAGAAGGCATCTGACTCATCGGCCTTGCCTGCATCCCTCCACGGATGTTTGTCTTCGGTGGGGGCATAAGTAACCACGACCACCACTCCTCAACTCCGGTTGATGGGAAGGCGAGCCCAAAGTAGCCTGGGGCTTACAGCTTCCCACACCTCACCGCCACGCTCCCACGCCCCCTTCATTCTTTTGTTCAGAAGAAGAGCCACACCCTGTCGTTTGGCAGACTCCTGCCCCGAGAAGAGGACTGTCCACCCCTAATAGTGACAGGAGCCAGAGCCGGTCCACTGGACCTACTGAATGCCACAGAAATGTAGGCGGTACCGGTCCAGCTCCCGACAGAGGAGTGGCAGCCTCTCCTCCGCAGTGAGCGTTTTAACATTACACGTGGCCATCCGTAGTGGCTTTTCGTTGTTTCTGGAGGAGCCCCGAGGGCAAATATTCAATGTACTGGCTCCGCCAGATGGGGTTTGGCCAGGAGCTGCATGCGTGTCCGTGTGTGTGTGTTCTGATTTATTGGAATAATTAAGTTCTTCAAACGAAGCCGTTGTGCCGGTGGGTATTACTTTGTCTCACACAACTTCCAAGTTTTTCCGTTTTCTGTTTGGAAGTTAAAAATGAGACTCCCTTTACTTCTTATAGAATTATTGTAATTTTGATTGTAAGTGATTCAAGGTATGTTGTAGCCGGGTTCACAGTATTTCCATCGAGGTTTGATGATTTTTTTTCATGGGGAGATGTTCTTTGCTTGTGTGTGCAAATCTTGCTATCCGTGCTGTGCGAAGACAAAGTCGGTTGGGAGGCTTTTTCTCTATGGAGTACATTCCATCTTGGTTAGGTATGACTGACTTATTTCGCCTTTAATTCTTCTAGATGACCCTTTGTCTACAATCGTACTTATTATTTGATTTGTGTTTATTGAAGATTGATGATTTAGCCTCATTATTGCCACGTATATTCATAGGGTTTTACTAACCTTCGTTCCACTGCCTGTATCCTGGGTTTGTGCTGTTTGTTCTCGAGTTATTATTATTATCTGATATTCCGAGGCTAGGGAATTCGTTTTGGCTTAGGAACGACCCTGACTGCCTTAATTATTCGTTGATGCTTCGGTCAGGTCGCGTAGAAAATTATTAAAGGTAACAATAACATTAGTATTGAATTAATAAATGAGGAGTCATGATCCACTGGTGTAGATTGTAGCCTGGTTTTTTTAATTGGAGTGAGTGTGAGGATCGATAATGTTCGCTTAATCTTTGTTGCTATTTTTTGAACTTTTAACCGTTGTATTAAGGGAAACGAGAGGTAAAATAATTATATATGTCTCGTGGCGCCTACTGCCTGTGTTGTGTGGGGGGCCTTTTGAAGTGGTGGTGAGATCTTAATCCTCATTCGCGACTTCCCCCTCTCTCCTTTGTACCAGGGAGGGGTTTTATTATCTTTGATGGTTCGTCTCCTGCTCTTTGTTGCGAGCGTGTCACGGTAGCTGCTCGTGAGGGGGGATGGGTTCCGTTGTTTGCGCTTCCGAGTGACCCCGCGATTGATTGTATGAAGAAAATATTTGGAAGAATTATTCTTAATATTAATTTAGATAAAGGGGCATATATCCAACAGTTACCATCCCCTCGCACCAGTCCAGAGCCCTAATTTAGCTACTGTGGTGGTCACAGATGCCATGAGGGGAGAGGCCAATCGGAATTGGTCATACCCCCCCACAGCACTATCCACGACAGCGTTGCCACAACAACACACAACAACACACACGCTGTACATAATACCCCTGAAGGTTAACCACACACTTGACAACAGATGTAATTTTTTTGCAGAGTAACAATTACATTTCGCGTTTTAGTCTTTGTAAACACAATGTTATGTAACCTGCTGAACTTAAAATATATATAATGAACTATAAATAACAACAACAATTTACGAGATAAGGCCCACTGAGCTATATAGGTATTTTTCAGAAGCGACCTGGTCATAATGACAGCTCAACAAAGTGGCTTATCACGTGGACATTTATCGCAGCCAAATCCTCTCAACGAATGATGTTGATAATTATAAATGTGGATGGAAAACCCGGAGGACCCGGAGAAAAATACACGCGACCACGAGGAGAGAGACACGCAAACTCTAAATATACTCCAGGCGTCAGGGTCGGGATTGACCCCACGACCGCCTGCATACCAGGCGAGGTAGTTAACATCTCGCCACTGTGGCGATATGTATAGGTATTGTTGCATGTCGCTTAATGTTGTGAAGACAGTGCCATATGAGAAAGACCACCGAAATCTAGAGTAGAGCCAAACAGTCGACATGCCAAATCACTGGGGTCTGCCCTCAAGGGCGACGAGTGGCAGCCATTTATTGGCTTCAATCTATGTTGCCTTGTCGTTGTTGTTTTACTTGCATCCCACTGGGATTTTTGCACAGCGTTGGTGTTAGGTGCTTTTTTCTGGAAGACTTTGCCGTTTTTTCCTGGATTTTCTGTTTGCGCATAGTCACTTTTAGATGTTTTCTTGTTTATATTTTTGTTTGTTGCGGTTGCACCCGATTCAAGAGCCTAATATTTCACAGGGCTATACCAAATAAATGAAACTGAAACTAAACAGTAGCCACAACAACAACCATTTCGGATTACACCCCGGCCAGAAGCCCATGATTTTCACAATTATTATAGTGGCAAAGCACAGCATTCCATTGATGCATAGTGCATGATGCAAATAACCTTGGAAAAGTAGCAACACACTGTGTGTGTGCGATAAAGTTCTCATGGAGAACATGAAACCGTGACGGCCGTGTGTGTAGGTTCGCTTGTTGTTGTCATTACAGCTCTTCACAGCCGATGTGTGATGCTTTTGGTTAAAAAAAGGTGTAAAAATGGAGGGAGGGTATAAAGATGGCTATAAAACTAACATCATCCAAGCCCTTGCTGGACACGGTTATTTTTGGTAATGATTCTCCGCTGGTCTTCCACTGCGTTTGTACCAACTACAGAAGAATGAAGATTGCACTTCGTAGTTTCACCCCGTAGGTTTGTTGCCATGGTTGCACTGCTGAGTAGAAAGGAAACTTCATCACTCTCCCAAGAAAAAAGAATGCCCCCCTTCTAAACCCAATTGCGACGAGATGATATTGAGGCTGCACGACCATGTATTTATATGTACCATGTATCATGCAGCAGTGGCCATGTGGACTGGGCCACCTGAGTTCGATACCCAGCACCCACGGCTTACATCAGTGGCGAGAAATGTCCTCATTACCGGCTGCGATGTTATATTGGTATATGTCTGCAACCCCCAAACTTCTCAATAAACTATACCCGTGTGTGTAACACAGATCGTAACACGTGGAATCGACAATGCATGCCTGAATCAAAATCGGCATCAATGAGTAAATTACTTGGCTCATTTAAAGCAATCATTATTTAGTAAGAAAGCCTTATTCCACGAGTGCTTTGCGAACAGGTTTTGTGAAAAAAAATATTAATACCAACGTAGGAGTCGAACAGGTTTTGTGGAAAAAAATATTAATATCAACGTAGGAGTCGAGACTTCGAAACTTGCCAGGAACATGTTCTTTAGTATATATATTTTTTATTTTATAACGGTGTTATTCAACGGTTTTATTTAACTTCACTCCTATGTTGGTCGTGATCAAATCTTGTAATCAAAATTTAGTCTACTTCCTGTTGTCCAATTAATTCCAAATTTTGCACACGTACTCAGATCCGGAGACAATTCATGCCTGTCGTCAGCAATTATTCAATTAATTGGCTCTTTGAAATCAATAAAAACATTTGTATGGACGATCTTGATTTGAAGCTTTCGTGACTGCAGGAATCCATACTCTTTGGTTCTTTCGGTAAAGTAACATAGGTAGAAATCAATAGATCACGACGTTTCGATCGCAACACAAGCGACCCACAGGCGAACGTCTTCACCTTCACCTGAAGACGGTCGCTTGTGTTGCGATCGAAACGTCGTGATCTATTAATTTTTTATCTACGTGACTTTACCGAAAGAACCAAAGAGTTTGTATGGACGCCTTATTAAATATATATTTGTGTAGGTCACACAAATATATAGATTGAGCGAGCGGCTCGGAGAAGACAAGGGAGTGTTGCACGCCGCGGGTTTCTCGCGCAGGAATTTTAAACCGTTCAGGTATTTTCCTCCAGGCCAGAAAGCCTCATAAGGGAATGCTGTTTTAAGAGGCAGCCTGTACCTACAAAGATGAAATATATTTCATAATGGTACTATGTAAATGTTTTCATCCTTATCATCATCATACTGCTGTTGATATAATTAAAGATGCGTTAATTTTCCTGTCATTCTGCTATAAACTTTAGATACAAACAATGTGAGCCCCTGTGCACGTGGCCACCTTTCTGCGACCATTTCAAAGAGATGGGCGCTCATGGTCACGTGACTTTCGGGCAATATTAGGGCAACTGTTGCCAGCAACGCATTACACATGGGCAACTGTGGTAACTCTATGGAATAGCATAAAGCAGCAGGGTTCTGTGTAGCCGAGGCAAATGGAGATTGATAAAAGGTGTTTGGCTAACTGGGATTGGTCTAAAGAGTTCACAGTGTTTGGTGGTCACATGACCTCTGATTGGAAATTTCTATCCCATTTGCCCACTAGCGACGAGCAACTATCGGACGCGTGTTGAATAGAACAGCAACGTTGCTTGTAAAATCGAAAATGGTGCGGCAACAACAAAAAATCACTTGCGCATACTACGGTGTGCGAGTGTCGTTTGAGCCAACTGGGATATAATTGGGAATAAAATAAAGCACTCCAATGACTTGGACCTAACCGTTCTGTGACCACCTCTCTCACTTTCCAGATGAAAGCGTCCTCACACGCTCAAGTTGGTTGTAGCCGAGGCAAGGTGACCTCCGGCTATGGCGCCGTCTTTTCCCAGAAGCTGTCGCTGAGGCTGCTGTTGCCACCGCTGCCGCTGAATGTGGCCATGGCACAGCGCGAGAGCGCAGGCCGCGCGTCCATCCTCTCGATGCTGCGGTGCAAGCAGGCGGACATCGCCTAGAACCTCTCCTCCGGATACGGGTGCTTCTGTCACGCCAGATTCCGCCACGCAGAGCCCCTGGATGAACTGGACTTGTGCTGCATGGTGAGGCTTGGCTGGGAATGGGGGGAATGCGTAGAGTGAGGGGGGCACCGACGCTGGGTTCGGGTGATGGATAAAGGCCTCCCCAAACCGGATTTGC